GGTGGACTTCTAAGCAAAAGAGCTGAGCCCCCAACTCCCATTAACACCAGGGGATACTACTGGGTGCTCAGCACTTTTAAGAAACCGAGTCAGTTTTATTTAGGAGCCTAAATCTGGATGTTAGAAGCTCGACTTCAGGGCACCGTCAACCTGTGGAACTCCTTGCCGGAGGATGTTGTGAAGGCCAAGATTTTATCAGGGTTCCAAAAACAGCTAGATAAATTCATGGAGGATAGATCCATCAGTGGCTCTTAACCAGGGTGGGTAGGAATGGTGTCCCTAGCCTCTGTTTGTCAGAAGCAGGGAATGGGCGACAGGGGAGGGATCACTTGGCGATCACCTGTTCTGTTCATTCCCTCTGGGGCACCTGGCATTGGCCTCTGTTGGCAGACAGGCCACTGGGCTAGATGGGCCTTTGGTCTCACCCAGTCTGGCCGTTATTATGTTCATGATCTCAGTGAGAGCTGTGTGAATAGCTCGGCATGAAACACCAGCTGGTCAAGGGCTAGCTGTTCAGATAAGGATCTTGACAAGCAGGGCTCAAAGGAGCAGAGGCAAGGGAGGAGGCGGCATGTACAGTGCAAATAGCAAGAAGGCACGGAGATGCCGTAGGAATTGTTTAGGGCCAGGCCTTGGAAAGCGTGAGCCCCAGGACACACCTGCTGCTCCCTCAAGCCCCGCAGGTGTGAGTGTGCACTTCGGACTGCAACAGTCCACGGCCTTTTGCAGGGACACCCACAGCTACCTCCTTTAAAACCTGAGCCCATAGGCCCCAAATCTTCTCCTCCCCCCTTCCCCGCCCAGTAAACAGACCAGGCACAGGAGACTCTGCAAGGAAGAGTCCTCGTCCCAGCGCAGCTCCCCCAGGCTAATGAATCCTGGTGCCCAATCCACTGTCTCCTGCTCTCCAAGGAGACCTCGCAGATCCAGGCTCTGCAGCACGCAGGGGTTCCCATGGTGGATCCCTTCTTCCCCCGTGGAAGTGGCGGCAGGACTGGCTGCTCACTACTGG